AAAAAAAAAAAAAAAGAAATGAAAAAAAGCAAACCTCAACTGAATTAGCATGGGTTGTAGGAAAATGATTCAAAAGCCCAGTTTCCAAATCAAATAGTGAACACGGGTTGTTTTGTTTTCGTATTCCATTGCTGTGAAACAAATCTCTTCAACATATAGTGGCTGAAAACAACTTGCATTTATTTATTTATTTATTTATTTATTTATTTTTTGAGACGGAGCCTCAAGCTATCCCCCTGGGTAGAGTGCCATGGCATCACGCTCACAGCAACCTCCAACTCCTGGGCTCAAGCGAGTCTCCTGCCTCAGCCTCCCAAGTAGCTGGGACTACAGGCAACCGCCACAACGCCTGGCCATTTTTTGGTTGCAGCCATCATTGTTGTTTGGTGGGCCCGGGCTGGGGATTCGAACCCACCACCTTGGGTGTATGTGGCTGGCGCCTTGGCCGCTTGAGCCACAGGTGCCGAGCCACAACTTGCATTTATTGTCTCACAATTCCTGTGGATCACAGATCCAGGGGTGGCTTAGATGGGGACACTGGCCCAGTCGGCCAGGCCAGAGTGCAGACCTCTGAGTCATGGCTGCAGTGGGACTCAGAGGGTCCATCTGGGACTTTGAGCAACAGGCAGCACCCGGCACAGAGGCAGAGGGGGAGGACACCCATCATGAGGGGACATCCATCATGAGGGGACATCTATCGCCTGTCCTTAGAAAGCATCCAGTGCTCTGGTTACCCTCAAAGGGAGGGTATTACACATGGCAGGGTCCCTGGGGGCCATCTTGGAGGCTGCCCACAAGGTCTGTTCATTTTAAATGCATGTTTAAAATGGAAAAGACGTCCATATGGTTAGAATTTCAGAAAGTAGGCTCAGTGGCTAGGGTGTGGCCACATGCACTGGGGCTGGCAGGTTCAAACCCTACCTGGTCCTGCTAAACAACAACAACAACAAAATAGTCGGGTGTTGTGGCGGGCACCTGTAGTCCCAGATATTTGGGAGGCTGGGGCAAGACAATCAGAGAATAAGGGGTCCTGTCTTCCTCAGAAATGGTGTCAGTCCCAAGTAACAGTCAGACTTGGAACTTTAAGATTAAGCTTCTCCCCTTCCCTAGCTCAGGCCTGCTTGGGGCTGGACATCTGGGACTGGAAAAGGTGGAGGCCTGGTGGTTAGCTTATCCCCTAGGTCTCCCACCCTGGTCCCACTGGATTGTCTTGGTCGCTTTTAGGGGTGGGGGGTGGGAGGTGGGTGAAGAGAGGTGGGGAGCTCTTTTTTCAGCTTCAGCTGTTTTGGCTTCTCAATGGATTTCCTCATTAAAAAGGGAGCACACTCCACTAGAGCTTTTCCTCCTTCCAAGGACACGCAGTCTGGTGCGGGGGGCATTTGGCTTGGCAGGAGGCCTTTTGGGCGAGCACTGTCCACCTCTGGGAGGGCTCCCTCCGCTCCCTCGCAGCCTGCATTGGGCCTGGGGTCCTCACACGGCCTTTGTGATATCCTTGGCTCTCTGGAAAACTGGTAAAGATGCCGCCTCCTCCTCCAGGGTGTTAATTTCTTTTCTTTTCTTTTTATTAAATCATCGCTGTGTACATTAATGCAGTCATGGGGTACCAGGTGCTGGTTTTATATACAATTTGAAATATTATCACCAAACCGGTTAACATAGCCTTTGAGGGTGTTGGTTTCTCACGCTGTCTTGCTCGATCGCTTTGGGAAGGGTCACGTCCTGGGAGGAAGGAGTGCTCAGCGTCTCACTCCAGGAACTGGACTCCAGCAGAGGGTTTGGATCTGCTGCTGGCTCTGCTGCTGGTCTTGCCTGGGCAGGGAGTGGTAGGCTTTTCTTGTAGAACACACTTCCCACATGCTGAGACACCTTTGAAGACAAAATAATTACAGTAATTGAGGCTGTGAATTCTTTCAGTAACCTGCATTAAACAGGAGGGCAGGAGGCTGAGGTAATCCCAGGGCAGAGCGTCTGTATGGTGAGGGTCACACTGGTTGGGCGCTGTCCTTTCTCTCAGAATCATGCAGAGTTTATAGCTGTAAAATCCAGCGAGCACCACCTGCCCATCCTCTCTGGTTCTGCAGTGGTTTGTTTGCACCCACAAGGACTTCACTCCAGGCCCATCCGTCTCCTTCTCCAGGGCCCCACAAGGCTCCCCATGGACACCTCTGCACCCCCACCTGCAGCCTGTGGCCCTCTCCTGGCTGCGGCTGGAAGGCCCTAGGCCGCCTCTCAGCACGGGGCTGATGAGCAGTGAGACAAACCCCAGGCTGCTCTGGGGACCTGGTGTCCTGACCCTAATCATGGGGTCCCTATACTGGGCTTCCTTTGCTCTTGCTACAGACCTGACCTTGGAGGGGACCTACCTGGGCCACATTGTCATAGCACAAGTCCTCAGCTGCCTCCTTTCTGGTAATATGATCACATATCACTTAACAATGGGGATGTGTTCTGGAAATGTACAGTCAGGCAAATCATCATTGTGGCAGCATTGTGGAGCGGCTCACACAGACCCAGGTGGTGTGGTGGATGGCACCCCGAGGCTGGGCAGCCTGTTGCCCCTACCTGCACAGGTGCACAGAATGTTCTGTACTGAATTCTGGGGGCAGCTGTCACACAAGGGTAAGGACGTGTGTATCTAAGCAGAGGGCGCTTACCATGAGGGGAGCTCGCAGGACTGAGGACCCTCTAGGTGAGTCAGTGAGCATGAGTGCAGGCAGAGGAC